TCCGGTACCGGGAACCGAACTCACGACCTTGCGCTTGCCAGGCAGGCGCTTTGCCACTGAGCTAAATCCCCAGCCCGAGGTTAATTTTTTGATAGCTGTCTTCATTCAGTTTTACATTTGAGTTGCACTAGCGAAATTTAGTTTCCTTTTAAGAGAGTTATGCAGAAGTTAATGTAAGATATTTAATTCATCAGTCCTGGAGTGGGAAAGGAAGAAGGTGAAAGTCATGCAAGAATGAGGTGAGGGGTTTTACACTTTCCTTCTGAGCAGGCAGTCGGATAAAGTGCTGATCAGACTTGCATCAGTGCCTGAGTCAAAACCAGAGAAGACACTGCATATCCGTTAGAGTAAGCATGTGGGGCTGCCACCCCGAGTTGCAGAATTTATTTCATTTTTAAATTATTGATGTAGTGTGAAAGGTCACACCATGGATCGGCGCGTACGAGAAAGGAAGGTGCAGAGAATGTTGCTGTGGCCTTCATAACAAGTGTCGTGTGGTGCAGAAGAGGCCTAGAGAAGATGATCAGGGCTTCAAGCGTTTGTCCCCAGCTTGACTTCTGTCAGATTGTCTCCGACAAGGATGTTTTTTCCTTCCCATTGTGAGTGTTCCATTCTCTAGGCACTGAATGTGCACACTGCTGCCTGCTTTTGAAGAGGAAGTTGTTGGATTTGTGCCTATTTTTCCTGCATTTCCTCCACCCCGTTTGTGGCCAGAATAGGCACAAATCCAACAACTTCCTCTTCAAAAGCAGGCAGCGGTGTGCGCATTCAGTGCCTGGAGAAAGGAACAGACGGGGTGGAGGAGATGCGGGGAAGTGAGAAAGTGCACTTTAACCTTGCAGTGCTGGCCTTGCATGTGTTGTGTCGTGATAAAGATAAGGGGTGTCAGTAGAAAGCATCACACTTCACAGCTGTCTTTCTTATGAAGAGATAAGCTTCTTAAAGGAGACGTGAATTAGTTGGTGCAGGTATAAACCAATCCACTGGTGTGCCAGTCTGCCGGGGTGTAATTTGACAGATCTTCCTCCAACTGTATTTTGGTAGAACTGTAAGTGAATTGAACTATAATTGAATTTTTCCTTGGAAAGAATTTTAGAAACGAAGCAAGCTGTCTTTGACCTAGTTGTTAAATACAGTAACACTCATCTACTCCCTCCCACCACCTCTCTGTCAGCCTCCCTCTCTTCCCCACTCCTCTCTGTCTTCTTTCATCAAGTCCAGGTGCTTTCTGAGCGTTTTCAGGACAGCACAAGTCTTTTCCTGGCCTGCAGAGCCCTGCATGGTCTCCAGACCTTACTCTGTCTTCTCCTCACTTCGTTCTTGTGCTCGCCTCCGGCCCCGCTGTCCTTCCTACTCTTAGAGTCTTTCTGGACTCCTGGGCTGTTCTTTTGCTTCTCCTTCATACGGAGGTCACATTCAGATTGTACATGTGTGCTTTGGAAGCTCAGTGAGATGCTGATTTCTTTTTCACTGTCTTAGAAAGTGTTTAGCACATAGTTGCACCCAACTGTTTCTTGGAATCTTTTTTTCTTGTCTTTTTAGGACAGGGTCTGGCTATGCAGTTCAGGCTGGCCTTGAGCTCACTTTATACCCCAGGCTGGTCTCGAATTCACAACAGTCCTCCTGCCTCAGCCTCCCAAGTGCTGGGATATAGGCATGCACCACCATGCCTGGCTACCCAACTAATTTTTGAACCTATGAATTCTGTCCATTGCATTTTCTATAGTTACCTACTTTTATTTGAATCTTCTAAGGTATCTCATTCTATTTTTCAAGTTACTTTAGTTATAATAGTCTTTACAAAATTGGAAAAAACATTTATAATCAAAGTGAAAAAAGTATTAGTACATAAAGAGTTTATATAAATCACTAAAGAAAAGGTGGAAAATCCTAGTAAGGCAAACTGTGAACAATTAACTAAAGAAATTCTTCTTAAAATGGCCAAAAGAGAGCTGAAAAAATTTTTGTCTTTACTAGGGATCACATAAGTGTCAAACAAAGCAAAATATCACCTCTCCCCTTCCCTAAAATGATTTCAATGGATGATGTAAAATATCTCTTGCTGTATTACGTTGTAGCCACTCTTGAGGGCTAGTCAGTGAGTCTCATCTCTGACAGACCGCAGCCTCTGCATTTAGTCACGTCTTCTCAGTGAAAGGTGGTGGCTCTAAGTAGTTTATAATCCTCTCTGCGGAGGGAAGATTTCAATATAGGAAAAGAAGTCAGCCTGCAGCCCTGTTGGTGTCACCCTGGTGCTCTGGTTTCACTCTGTTCAGTCACTGTAAAGCAGGCAGCCCTTCATCCACATCAGCCACTCTTACCCACTTTTAGTTACATAAGAAGCAGTTTATATTCCTTGGTGACTCTGGAGACGATGTTACGTTAAAGAGATAGTTTTAGCTGGGTGTGGTAGTATACACCTGTCATCCCAGCGCTCCGAGAGGCTGAGGCAGGAGGGTCAAAAGTTTAAGCACAGCCTGGGGGAGCCAGATAACATAAACCCTGTCCAAAAAAAAGGACCAGAGATGCAGAGATGTAGCTCAGTGCAAAGGCCTTGAGTTCAAGCTTTGGGGGAAGGGGGTTAGAGACATACAGACCCAATTTTAAGTTTTGGACCTTCCACCTAGTTTAATGTGTGACTTTGGGCAAGCTACTTACATTTCTCATTTGTAAAATTGGGAACTTATAGGGATTTTGTTGTTACACTGTTCATTTTTTTGTTTTGTTTTTCGTTTTTCTTCCGGTACCAGGAATCGAACTCACAACCTTGCGCTTGTCAGGCAGGCGCTTTTGCCACTGAGCTAAATCCTCAGCCCTACACTGTTCATTGATTGAAAACTATTTATTGAGTACCTTTTCTGTCCCAAGCACGTTCTCAGGCACTGAAGTGATAGCAGTGAATAAAGCATGCCTGGTAAACTTTCATTG